GCAGGGATAACTGACTGAATTGAAAGGATCCAAATTGTATACATTTTTGAGCTTAGTTAATAGGGTAGACAGGCAAAACGTAGACATGCAAAACATCAGGAAAAGAGCAGTTTCACAATGAAATTTCATTTCCTATTGAATGCATTGATTTTGATGATTATGTCACACACTATCCAAAGCCTCAGACTGAACTAGAGCCACCTGAGTGCGGTGATGCCATCTAGGTAGAGTGTGGAGAAAATAGTGCAGAGGACATCAGAGTTAACCTTGGAGAAGACCTGCATTTGTGGGTTGGTTGAAGATGTTGATGGAGCTTGAGATGGTAAATTTGCTGAAGAAATGTGAGTATATTAGGGAGTGGTGCAACATTATATCTTACAGAAGCTTATAAAAGGAAGAACACCAGATGCTATGGACTTATGGATTAAGAAAGGAAAAAAATGATTAGATTCATTCAGTTACTATGACATCATTGATAATGAGAGGGAGTGGACAGAGAAACTTGCCATTGTAGAATGATACACCAAATGTAAAGAGTATGTGATTTGTATTGGGATTACAATTTTCTTAGCCTCAATTGCTAACTATATATGAAGCATATAACAATAATGTCTGTTCTACAGGGTTGATGTACTTCTTGGAGGAAATAATTTGCATAAAGCATATAGAAATATCCTTGGTTTTCTGTAGGCTCCCAATTCTTGGCATTGTTTTTCTCAAAGAATTGGGGTATAATATAACTCAAAGAACTGTGGCTTTAAGATGTAAGGCTGAAAAGGGTATCAGTGATACAGAAATAGGTATTTTGTGGTTTGTGGCATTGGCAGTTGTTTCTACACTAACTTCATGTTGACAGAGGAAGGGGCTTAAGGGTTTAGGGAGAAATAATCAGATAATGACACTAGCACAGACTTGCCTATATGTTGACATATATTTGACACACACATGCATGCATGATTATTTTTTAGAGTGACAGAGTTTTCCTAAAGCTCATTTGGTCATTCCAATCACTTCTCCATTTGGTCACTGGAAACCAAAAAACAAGTATCAACTAAAACTGTGAATTCTCCTTGTGTTTAGGCTATTTCAGTATCTTTCATACATGTCAGAAGGGTATAAATATATTTAACAAAATATTTCTGATTCATATTCATTTCAGTGTTCCTTTTCCCTCTAGAACAAACATTCTATTATTGAAAAGAGAATTCAGGAAACATGAGCTACACTACGAGAAATTGATTTACAGCAACCTATTTGTAAGCTTTGCCTTCATTTTTAACTTTTGATGCAATAATTAATTAAAACCAAATATTACTATGTAGGGAATGCAATATTGGGAACAATATGTGCAGATTCTCATTTTATAAAAAAGTTTTCAAGTACACTGTCTTACTTGTTCCTTGTAAGAAATTCTTGAGGTGGTCTCTAAGTAACAAATAATTAAGATGCCTCACAGTGTTAACCATGACTTACACACATTGGTCTATATAATCCTCAAAACAGTTCTGAAAGGAATTGATACTATTATTGTACTTATTTTACAAATGGAGAAACTGAGGCACAGAAAATTCAAGAACTTTGTCTTACGTGACTCAGCTAATGACAGAGGGAGCAGGATTTGGGCCTGAGCTACATGGCTTCAGAGTCTGTTACACCATTTTGCATTGTGGCTTCTCTGCAGGAATGGGATTATGCCTTCATAGAATGGCTATCTGTAAATGACAAATGTATTCTGGGGACACCTTCTTCCTCATGGCCTTGGAATAAGTTTGCCTGAGTATACTTCCTGCTCTCAACCTGTTGTGCCAGTCAATTTTTAATGGCTGGTACAAAATACCTAACACAAACTTAAGGGAGGAAGGATTCTTTTGGCTCACTCTTCCAGAGGTTCTAGTACATCATGGCATGGAGGGCATGGTAGAGCAGCTCGCATTGTGGCAGATAGAGGGCAAAGAAAGAGACAGAAAAGGGCCAGGGAAGAGATACCCCCAAATACCTGACCCCAAGTGAACTACTTTCTCCAGCTGAGCCCCATATCCTAGTTTCAAGAACCACCAGCTTGGGAACAAGCCTTCAATACATGAGCCTTTTGCGGAGATATTTCATATTTATATCCAAAACACAACACCTATAAAGCAGGTAGATCTCCCTTTTGCAGATGCTAGAACATGAGGCTAGAGAAATCCGTGCCATGTTGAGTTCATGCCTTTGTTATTAAAAAAAATCTCTACTGAAAGAATTTAACATGAAAAACAGCACAGTACATGCTAATTGCAGCTGATAAAACTACAGGAAGATAATCCTTTCACCTGCCTGACCTCTGTTCTTACTCACCTAAATGAAGTGAGCAGTTATTTCATGTAACACAAATTTTTCCATAACCTTCTTTAGAGAAAATACTGAAACACAAACTCTTGAACACCTGCAGTTTTAGGAGACTTCATTGTTCTTGGATATAACAGAAATGGGGCCATTCCATATAGATTCCCCTTCAGCATTCTGGTATAATTTAACAGTAGTCATAGAAAATGTTATGGGTCAATAGATGATTGTGGCTCCCTGTTTTGATGTGTATATAATAATTTAATATATTTACAATACATTCAGGGCTGGAGCAAAGAGAGTTCTAACATGCTTTCCTTCCCTTATCCGTATTACTTACCTTTATTATGATGCTGCATTGCCTGTGAAGTTCTGATCCAGTAGTACAATAAGTGAACAATTTCCACTTGGAGCCATGAAGTGGTTCTCTTTCCTTGCTTCTACCACTTTGATTCTTACTTCTCTTGAAGATTGATTTAACATCTTGTCAAACCCCCTCCCAAAAAGTTCTATTGGGACTTCAGAAACACTATTGTACAACTCAAAATTAATGTCAAAAAATTAACGTCTTTCTAGTGTCATGTTTCTCTTTTAGGAAAATTTCCTGAAAAAAATTCCACTTACTCATGTCTTTTCTCATATCTTACAGTGAGCTTTAATTTTCTTTAAAAAATACCATTCATGAAGAAATTCCATGGAAGAGTTCATTATAGATCTTTTAGATTTTATCACTGGCATAATCACCTTCTTTTCCCCCACAGTGTTTTCAGGTAGACTTTTGCTGGTATGTAAGAAAAACAATATTGATTTTAAAAAAATATAGCTTTCTATTTATTGCACTCAACACAACATTTGCTTTGTGGCAGGCATTATATGTTTTGGTAAGGACTATGTGAAAATGTTGTCTGTTTGCTAACTGCTGTATCCTAATACCTTCAAACAGATAATGCCATGTGTATTTTTAATGCAGTACAACAATTAAAAGAAAATCAACTACTAAACATTTTCGTATAGAAGCAGCAGCCCCCTTCCGGCCTCTCCCCCTCAAATAGTGACTTGCATTGTTTAGCTCTGAATTGACTACTGATATTTCAGGTGAACAGTTTGAATGGACTTTGCTCCCAACTGGCCTAGGAACATTATGGTAGACTGTTTGGAAATGTAGTCATAGGGGCTAAACTCAGCTTGTTAGAATATTTACTCATAGCTGTCATGGTAATAGTTCTGGAGAGTCCAGGTGGGTAGTCTAAATATCATCAGTATATGCATTTGCGAGACCTGGCATTAACATAACAACCTTCTTTAACTTTGTGTGCTAACTTATGATTTCCTCCTTTCTCTACTTGATCCATGCAATGGCTCACTGAATTAGAAGCCATAGTAATTGCATCTGCTTCAAGGGTTCTCCTGAAGATGAAATAATTTTTTATATAATCAATCACAAGGTGCCATGCCATCTTCCAGGGGCCAAAGGTAACTGCACACATCTGCCTCTCCTGGGGCTCTGCTTGAAACACAATTGTATTTTACAGATTAAACAGCAGCACTCTTTCCTCTCTTAGAATTGCTTAGTGTTAATTTTATTCAAGGTTTTGCTTGTTTTACAGTTCTAAAAGTTAATGGTTGAAATCATCTTACTGTATTATTCAGTTGCTTGATATGTAAAGTGACAGCACTGTGATATTTTTCTAACATTTCCATAATTGATATGGTCCCCTTAATGTGACTGTAAGGGTGGGAACCCAGGTCTCATGGGCTAATTATTTTCAATTTAAAAATGACAATTAGTGCTGGTGTCTTTTATGTGTGTCATGTTTTGAGATTTTATCACAATATGTACCCACATATGTTTCTAGATTAATTTAATGCCACTTTGTGAAATTTAGGGTGGGGGGGAACAACTCATGATTTTAAAATGCAGTACAGTTACTACCATAAAATGCCGATTGAATGTAGAAAAAAATTTCATTGCAAGGTTGGGTAATGAGACTTGCTTTCATTCAAGTCTCTTTTCATATGCCTTAAGAAATGTTTGTGACTTCTCATAGTTTTAGAGCAATTCTTGGTTAAGTTTATTCTTGTGTATTTACCTTTTTACCTTTCATGAATGATTTTTTTCTATCATCTACCTCTCAATTTTGTTTCTACCTGCCTGAATCAACTCTGTTAGCATTTTTTAAAATTAAAAAAATTTTTACCTTTATTATTGTGCTGGGTGGGGGCACATTGTGACATTTACAAAAGTTTTTGCAATATATTAATAAATCATACTTATTCTCCTGATATATTATCCTTTCTCCTGTGATTCTTGGAACAGTTTCAACAGCTATCATTTCCGCATTTCCATACATATGTACACATTTTTGCAAAGTAATCACCCTCCTACCCCCTTTCCCCGCCACACACACCCCCACTGGTGCCAACCTTCCTCTCTGGGTTGGACCTGTTCAGCCCTCCTGTTCTCCGATTTTATAGAAGTAAAAAGAGAAAAGATAAAAAGAAAGACATGACATTTTTACTTATTTGAGATACAGGTAGCTACACAGGAAGTTTCCTTGTTATATTTCCATGTGTAGATGTATTGTAACCCCAATTGCTTTATCTCTAGTCATTCTTATACCAGGAGTGGTATAGCAGAATCATGGTAGTTTTATTTTTAGATTTTTTTTTTCATAGAAAGTCACTTTACTGGATATGGACAGTAATTAATAAATGTACAACCTACATATACAAGCCAAGACCCTTCCTTTCCTTTGGTCTATCCCAAGTCTTCCCCCTTTTGAACACGTGGTTAAGGGTCACATCATTGACATGGGTGTGATAATGGTCAGTAGCTACTTCTGGGAAAGGTAGGTAGTAGCTCAAGTTGGGGAGTGATGGTTCCAGTTGTTCATGCTTGGTGCAGATTAACCATTCGGTCAATCAAAGCTCGGCGTGTTGCCTCTACTTCCTTGGTCAGGCGCTCAATTTCCTGCTTGAGCCGTTCATTTTCTTCAGCTAGCTGTGCCACTTTCTTTTCATTCTCCTGTTCTTTTTCCTTCATGCGTTGCTTCCCAACCTGGGCTGGGCACTGGATACTTTGTTTCCGCTTCCTGGTTCTTCTTTGGTCTTCTTCCTCTTCCTCCTGTGCCAGGGAGCTCTGACTGGAGTCTGGAGAAGAATGAGGGCTGTGGGAGGTGCTTGTGACCTCTGCTGGTCCTGGCTCCTCCAGTCAGCCAAGCTAGAGATGCAGGGTCAAGAGTGGTAAAGGTTTTTGATTCTTCCTCTTCATTTCCCGGGAGTGAGATATAGGTACCCCCGTTTTCATCTGAGGATAGGACCTCTTGCAGGTCCTCATACCAGGCTTCCAGCTCCCAGCTAGACACTGTCCCAAAGGAGAAAGGCAATGACTCAGCTGCCATCTCTGCAGTTGGATCAGATTCTGCTTTCAGGTGTGGTGATGTATGAAGATACACTTTCTTCTGGAACACTCTCTCCTCAGGTTCCGATTCTGATTTTGGCTCTGTCGCTGCCACCCGCTCATCTTCAACATGATACACTCTATGCGTTACCCTCAAGCTTCTCTTATTTTTAGATTTTTTTTTAGGAAGCTCCATACTGATTTCCACAGTGGCTGTGTATCTTAAAATTTAATACTTACCTCATGTAAAATGTATTGCATATAAATTGTAAAGTGCTGACTGAACAGTTTAATTTTTTCACAAATAATTTTCCTAACAACATTCAATCTTAATACTAGTTTCAACTCTGCCCATTTTTGAGCCAGAAACCACTATTTTTATTTTAAAGTAAATATGAATTGGTCCCATGTCAAGGACTCAGTAGCCACATGTAGCTAGTGGGTGCCATCTTGGGCAAAATGGATGCAAAATGCTCCTATAATTGCATAAATCTGTCTTAAACAACAGTTCACCATAGTGTCACACACTCAGATTTTAATACAGTTTCCCTAAAATGATGATAAAGTTAAAATCAATGTCTCACAATATAGTATCTTGCAGTAAAGAAATGTGAATATATCCATTGGTTCAATTTTGAATGTTTATATAAGTTTTTTTATACTTATAGTAAGCTGTTGCTGTTATTTGAAAAGCAGGCATTACATTTTTAGAGATGGGAGAGTTTGAGACTTAGGAATAGCAAACAAATTAGTTGACATTTAAATTAAATTACTTGTATTTTATTGGTACTTTACTTATAAATTAACTCATCTTAACCAGGGAAATGCTGCAAAGCAGTAAAAGGAGTAGTCTTCCTGACATCCCCTGTGTCATGCCCTGCTGCAAAGCAGATATGATATGTGGTCTTTCTGGCAGCTCATTGACATGTGGATAGGCCGAGATAAACTTTGTCTTCTGTTCACATGTGGATTCATTCTCTGTGCCTTGTTCTACAACTTGCTTTGATTGTTTGAAAGATCCCTGTGGACATCCTTCCAAGGGGAGGTTTTCACTTTTCATATTTTAAAATCTAAATCCTGATCCTGTGTATATTTAAATATTTCCAAATAATTTCTAGGTTTTTAGATTTTGTTTTTAGAATTTTGGTGAGTCTTGTAGAGTTCCTCCTGAGACCCACCCACAAGTATCCAATTTATCCTGTAATGTAAGCTCTTGATTCTGAACCCTTGGTCTGTGTCAATACCTAAGTCTCCCTGATAGCATTTATTTATTGGCCAATTTGCCTAGACAAGTTTGTCCCTTCTTTATTATTCTTCTGTGGGTAATTTCACAAATTATGTAAGTAATTTATTGCTGTAGATTAAGCATTATTTGGTTCAAGCTTTGATGTAATGCATTTAATTAGAAAGCAGTTGATACCCAGAAAAGTAGAGTACTGTCTGACAGGAGCAGGCCATATATGGGCACTCCTTGCTTCAAACCTTCCTGCCAGTTCTAATGGTTTCTTCATTTATCTTCTAGACAAATCTGAATTGGCTTATTACTAAAATGATTGCAGTCTTTTCTCTCTTCTGTGAAGTGGTATGTGTAAGTATTCATTGCTCATAGGTGTTCATTTTTTCCTTATTATTTTCTGTCTACCAACTTTGCTGAATAATCTTTTGATTTCTCAAAGATTCTCAGTTGATTTTTTTCTTGAGTTTTCAGGGAGATAATTTTATCCTTTATGCGAGATGCATTAGAATATGTCAACCCTGTATTTTAATTATATCTTCACAAACAGGAAGGGATAAACACTTGGAACACTCAGCAAGCCAGACCTGAGTCTTCCTTGGTGTCTGTTCTCAATTCCACCCACCCTTCCAACCTTCTCTTTATTGACCTAAGATTTTGTTTATTTCTTTGGTGGTACTGAGGTGTGAATTTAGGGCCTTGCACTTGGTAGGTATGCCCTCTTACCACTTGAACCACAAACCCAGTTCCACCCTTCTTTTTAGACATGGGTGTCCGCCTTTGTGGTTAAGAAGGCAGGGACTTCCTGCCACTTGGTTTGCATTGAGAGGATTTTACCTACTGGCTTTCCCATAGTTTTCCAGGGAACAAGGTGAAGTAGAATTGTAATTGAACACTGGAGATAGCATTAAGTCTCTTAATGGTCTTATTGGTGCTTACATTCTTGTAGATAGGTCTTCAGTAACAGAAGATGTATGTAAAACATTTAGACAGATCTAGAAACAAGGGCATATCATCATCCCTTGTCTTTTTATGCCAGTTCCTTCTTAATAAACTATTTTTCTTACTGATTGGATCACATTGTTCTCATAATGAAAATAAGAAGGGTTAGAAATCAGAGAATATATTTATAAATGTAAGCAATTACAAATGTATACAGTATCTTCATGCAGTGCATAGTACATAAATATATACAGTAAGGTATGTGAAATAGTCCTTGTCTGGTAGTGTAGCATACATTTAATAAATGCTTATTAATATTACCATTAATTGTCCTTCCCTTGCCCTCACTTTTCTTTCCTTCACCACCTCTTCTTTCTCCTCTCTGCTTTCTCTTTCCCCCTCTCCTTTGTCTTTGTTGTCCTCTCCTTTTTCTCCTCATTTCCTATTTGTGCCACTCCTTCCTTTTATCCTTTCTTCTCCTCATATATGTTCTCAACTCTGCTGTCTCTTCTCCTCTTTCTGTCTCCTTCCCTTCCCTGCCTTCTGTTTTTCTCCTCTTCTTTCCTCTTCTTATGTCTTATCCCCTGCCTCATCACGTGCTCTTTTCCTTTCTCCTCTATGTTCTCTTTCTCTTTATGCTCTTTTCCTCTAACCTTTCATTTCCTTCCCATTCCCTCCTTGCTTCTCTATGTTTTCTCTTCTCTTCTCTCTCACCTTTTTCCTGCTCTCTAATTCCTCCTCTATCCTGTCCCCAGCACCCCACACACAAATAAAGGCTTCCCTCAGTTTATTCCTCAAACATTGCTTCCACTTCTTTACAATTTTCTACACTCAAAAATATATGTTAATGAATACCATTAGGTATAATTTGGGGTTGTTTTATACAAATTATTCTTTACAATCCAAGGTTTTAGCCCATGTGGGATGCAGTTGATTGTGTGCAGCTAAGTGAGAATCAAAGTCTGTTTTTCTCAACCAAATATATAAATTATGTTATCACTTGAAACAACAGTTTTCTTCCCTTGAACTCTATAAACTCTTGAGCTATAAAACAATCTCTAGTCTTTACTGTACTTTACTGTATCATTTAACATGTCAAATACCCCATTTTACTTTTACTTATTGTAGTATTTACTTTTTTTTCTTGAGGCAAGATCTCACTCTGATCTGGTCTCCAGGCTGGTGTGGAACTCATTATGTATCTGATGAATGGCCTTGAACTCAAGATCCTCTTGACTTAGTCCCCAAGCTCTCTGGTGCTCACACCACATCACATGACCCCGGATGCCAGACATGAGCTACAGGTTTTAATGTTTTCTCTGCTGTATTTTGGTCTTGCTTTGTTTCCATCTCTCCTTTCTGTGCCTTCATTCCCTCCTCTTGAAATGGGAGTGTTTACTCCGTGCCATTGCGTGTTGGAAGTATGCAACTTGCTTTTAGAAATTTATAGGTTCTCAGAGTTGGGTTTGTCATGAGTCAGAGGAACTTGGACTTCTGAACAGTGCTGGAACTGTTAGTTCTATTGAGATTCTTGGAGATGGGCTAAATGCATTTTGCATTGTGAGATGGCTATGAGCCTGTTGGGGGTTGTGGACAGAATATTAATGGTTTATATGTGAAATGTTCCCCCAAAAGACTCCTTGTATAGCTATCCTTATCTCAACTAGCAAAAATGCTTTGTCTTTCTTATTATTGTTTATACTCTCTCTTCAACAAAATTAGAGACAAAGGCAGAACAGATTCTGCCTGAAAGAAAGGGAGGGTTGGGAAGAGAGGGAGGGGTCTGGGGGTAAGGGGCAGAAATGGCCTGAATAATGTATGAAAAAAAATAGTGTATGCGCATATGAATAAATGAGAAAAAAAAGACTCATATGAGTAATATGTTAATTTAAAAAAAGATATATATTGAAGGCTTAGTCCTCACTGATAGCACTATTTTGGGAGGTTGTAGAAACTAGGACGTGAGGCCTCTCTGGAGGAAGTAGATTACTGGGGGCAAGTCTATGAGGTTAAATTATATTGTCTCCAACCTCTTTCTGTCACTGTTTCTCTGATTCCTACCTGCCATGAGGTGAGGAGCCTCTTTACATGTTCCCACCACATGATGTTCTGCTTCACAACAGGCCCATAATCAACCAAGCCATGGATTATGACCTGAATCCACTGAAACTGAGCTAAAATAAATCTTTCTTCCCTGAAGATTGTTTTGCTCAGGTACTTGATCACAGAGACAATAAAACTGACTAACCAAGTAGCTCAGACTGGCTTCAAACTCATGATCCTCCTGCCTCAGCCTTCTGAGTGCTGACATTAAAATGCCTGGTTTATTTTTGTTTATAATTGCTATTTTTACTTATTTTAATTTATTTTTATTTTTTATTGCTATGCTGGGTGGAGGGGTACATTGTAGCATTTACAAAGGTTCTTACAATGTATCAAATATATCATACTTGAATTTCCCCCCCTCCACTGCTCTCCTGTATCCCCTCTCCCTTAATTCCTGGAACAGTTTCAACAGGTATCATTTTTGCATTTACATTCATGTATACACATTCTTTGCAACATATTCACTCTCCTAACCACTTTCACAGCCACCTCACCCCTCCTATTTTGAAATAAGGAGAATTTGAAAAAAATCTCTCTCATAGAATCAACATAGTAAAAATGGCTATACAACCAAAAGCAATCTACATGTTTAATGCAATTCCCATCAAAATCCCAATGACATTAATCAAAGAGATTGAAAAATTTACCCTAAAATTCATTTGGAAACACAAGAGACCTTGAATAGCCAAGACAATACTCAGCAAAAAGAATAATGCTGGAGGCATCACAAAACCCGACTTCAAACTATATTACAATGCAATAGCAATAAAAGCAGCATGGTACTGGCATAAAAACAGACATGAAGACCAGTGGAATAGAACAGAGGACCCGGAGATGAATCCACACAACTATACCCAACTTATTT